TAAGGCATACCTAAATCAGAGAACTTAAAGTGTCAGAAAGATAAATGCTGCAAATGTACAATAGGGGGAAGTATAAGATAACTTATACTTACTAGGTCATTACTAGGTCATTACTAGGCCTGTCAGGGTCAGTGAAAATAATGTTACCTGGCCTCAGTTTCTTAAAGGGGACAGACAGCACTCAGGGGTTGGGGAGGGGATGGGAAGTAAAAGGGCAGAGGTAGAAACATGAAATATATGGCGGGGAATCATTGGATTATATTTTGTAGTTAAATTTGTCAATATATTTTTTCATTACAAACATGATCTATTTCATTGATTTCCCTTTTTAGGGTACTTTCATATACAGATGTTCACTATAGAGAAATTAGGATTTTGGAAAATGGCTCTTTGTGATCCTAGAAATCTGATTCATTCAGGGAGGGTCTGTCTGTAAGGGTAAGTTAGTTGAAAGATAATTAGACCTAGATAGAAAATTGAAATTGCACGCTCAGTGACACACGTAAGCACTTTGAGAAATTTTTTTTTTTTGAGACCAAGTCTCACTCTCTTGCCCAGGCTGGAGTGCAGTGGTGTGATCTCAGCTCACTGCAACCTCCGCCTCCCGGGTTCCAGCGTTTCTTCTGCCTCAGCCTCCCGAGTAGCTGGAACTACAGGTGCACCCCACCACGCCCAGCTAATTTTTGTATTTTTAGTAGAGATGGGATTTCACCATCTTGGCCAGGCTGGTCTCAAACTCCTGACCTTGTGATCCACCCACCTCGGCCTCCCAAAGTGCTGGGATTGCAGGCGTGAGTCACCGTGCCTGGCCAGCACTTTGAGAAATTCTATCTCCATTCCCCTGAGCTCAAAACTAGAGACAATACTGCCTCCTTAAGTAGATCACAGTTCAGAGGTTTAGAGGCATTAAAACTTGTGTTTTTCCTTCCTTTTCTCCAAAATCCCTGCTTTTGCTTTTTTATTCCTGGATACCTCTGAAGGTCAAGAAGCACAATTTTTCATGGGAATTCACTGAAATGAGCAAGTTAAAATACAATGCCTTGTGATATGCAGCTGCTTTTCTTAGGTATTAAACACAGTGTAGAATTTGTACATGCAAAGGGACCATCTTCATATTGTTAAGGATCATGAAAAGTTGACAACAGACTGACCACCTCCATCAGTCCCTGGCCCAGAGTAGACCCCCCAATAGATAGTTATTAAAGGAATAAATTAAATACCAGCATTGTAATGCCTCCATGAATTGGAAGATTAAGTAAACATTAATAAAGAGGATGCCAGTCTATGTTTGTTATCAAGAAGAGATGCATATAGAATGATCTCATTTCGTTTTTTAAAAATAAAACCCCCCATGTAGTCCCAGCTACTCGGGAGGCTGAGGCACGAGAGGCATGAGAATCACCCAAACCTGGGAGGCAGAGATTGCAGTGAGCTGAGATCGCGCCACTGCACTCCAGCCTGGACGACAGAGCAAGACTCCGTCTCAAAATAAGATACATACTCCCCCTACACCCAGAATAATAATAAATTTTAAAAAAAGAAAAAAAGAAAACAGAAAACAGCCCATCTGTCTGTATTTGGGTGAGATTATAATAATAGCCCACAGATTGATTTCCTTGTTCCATTTCTGCTGCCCTCTAATCCATTCATCATGTAGCAGCCAAAATGAGCTTTCTGAAAGAAGCAAATCAGACAGTGCCTCTCCATGGATTAAAGCCTTTCATTGACTTTCCCCTGCTCCTAGACACCAACGAAGGTTCTTTGTGATCTGCTGGATCCTGCATGATCTGGCTCTGGCCTGCCTCTCCAACCTTGCTTTCCACAGCCTTTCCCTTGCCTCTGGCTTCCTTCCAGTTTCCTAAAATGCGCCAAGCTCCCTCTGCTCTAAGGCTCAACTAGCTGCTTGACCTGCCTAAAATGGTCTTCATCCTGAGTTTCACAGGGTTAGACCTCCTTAATCAGGCCTCAGCTTAAATGCCACCTCCTCAGTGAGGTCCCTTCCTTCAGCTGACTTCATTTACCACCACATCATTCTTATTTTCTTCATTGCTCTTGACTGAAGCAATTTGTTTGCTTGTTGTGGATTTTTCCCATGAAGACCTAAATACTGAGGGTAGGTACCTTGTGTGTCTTGTTTATCATTGTGCTCCGAGCTCCTCACTGCAGATGATCAAGGAATAGTCAATAAATGAGGAAAAGTATACAGGGTTAGGCCTCAAAATATTAATAGCGATCATCACTAGGAGGAAGATTTTGGGTGTTTTTAATTTCTTTTCTTTTCGTTCATTTTTATTGCCTAATTTTTCTGCAAAAATCATGTTGCTTATATAATACTTTATCAGTTACTCCAGTGCTTAGCCAGGCTTAAGGAAGTAGTTTTAAGGATTGCAGACAGCGGCAGAGAATGCGTTGTCTGCATACTTGATGCTGTGCAGTGGGTGCTGAATAAACATTTGCCAAATCCATTGAAATCTTTATTCTATGGGAAGATATTCTCCACAAAGTTCTGTAGTTAGTTGCCCACCCATATATTTGTGTGGGAGGCAAGTGCATGATGTGCAGCAAGGTACAGATGCGGAGCTCTGTCTCCCAGGTTTCTGATCCTTATCCCCAGTCGTGTACTTTTCTCTGGCAATCATGGAGTTATTTTACTCCGGGGAAAATCCATTATAAACAGCAGCACATGGGGCACTAGAGTGTGATTTGCTTCAGTACACACTGCTTTTTTCAAAGATAATGTGGAGCCTGTAGTTCCACATATAACTGAGAGACTGGCTGAACTGTCTGCCTGTCTTGTGGGGAAAAAAAATCTACAATATAGTATATATATCCTTTTTTCCAAGTCACTTTAACAGTAACTTGGCCAATAACAATTCTATTTATTAATAGCTTTACATTTTAGAAGTCCAATAGCAATAATAATTATGGTCTTAAAAGCTAAGTTATTTCTTGCATGTATTTTTTTTTTTTCAAGTTAAAGGCTAACCCAGTAAATTGCATCCCATTCATCTTAGTGACTTAGAGCACTTATTTGGGCTATTAAGCAGTTGAATAGCTGTCTTCTAACTCAACAAAAGCAGGTTTTCCTTAGCTATGATACTGGATGGTTAAGGCTTTCATTCATTTGTGAAGTCCATAACCTGTGTTTTAACTTTAATGTTACATTCTGGAAATCTGTGCAAATTGGGGAAGGTGGGGGAGGAAAGGAAGTAATCCAAGAGTAGAAAATATAATAACTAATTTAGAGAGAGAGAGAAGTTACTTTAAACATCAAAATAATTTTTTTTCACTTAGATTTCTATTGCTTTACATTGAGAAGATTTGGTTAGCACCAGAGCCCTGTAATATTATGTGCATTTCATATCCATGTAGCTTAAGTCTGACTAACTTATGTTCTTCACAAATTTAGGTAAAGGCAGCTAAGCAAAGAGTGAGGAAAACTTGTTTTATTATTTATATTACAAATGCTGAGCAATTCATAGGGAAAAAAAAAAAAAACCACTCATTTTTCTTCAGTGCTCTGTTAGAGTAGTCCTGGGAGGCATGTGTCAAGAGTTGTAGTAACTGACGTTCAAAATCTCCTAATGGAATGGTGCAGCAGACTAGATTGATTCTAGAGCACTATCCAAATGGAAACTGTTTAGCTACTGTCCATCTGAAAATAGGCACTGCTTAAAGAACAGCACTTCATACTATGACATGTGAACATTTCTGATTGCGTGTGGTTATAATAGCTTGTATAAAAGCTGAGATGGAAACATCTTTGTAACCATGTGGTCTCTTCACTCCCACGGAGATCTTATTTTTTATAGTTTCTTGATTTTTCTCTAACCTTCCCAACCCTAGCCCCTTCTTTGGCCTCACAGAAACAGGGTACGCCCAATGGAATCATCCCAGGATATTTTTGATTAGATGAGCAAAGACAACTGTGAAGAAAAGTTGACTTATCTGGTAGTTGGAATACGGGCCCCAGAAAAAGCAAAGTTGTAATGTGTGTAAATGTTGTTTGGTGTGCGATGCCAGAGGAGGAGGACAGATCCCAGTGACACTGTGCACCAGAAGGATGCCGCCTGCTTGGCTAAAAGACCCAGCAGTAGGGCCAGCTATTGTAAAGCCCCTCCGCCAAATGAACAGGGACCCTTCTCTGGTCACAATAGCCATTCACGCTGAGCAGCTTCATTAAATATTCAGCCTGTGCTTCCGGCAGCTCATTAGGGCCGCAATGAGCAGTGACGTGGATGCAGGAAAGCTGAGGGCCAGCCAGCATCGGAGGCAGAGGCTGAGTGAGCTGCTGATGGCTTCTCTCTTCATTGCCTGTCCTATGATGACCAGTGTGTGCTCTCTGCTTTGCTTGAAATACAGGTAAAAAAAAAAAAACAAAAACAAGCAGATGACACTTAAGGGCTTCAAGACCTTGTCTCAGATATTGTCTGGCAAGGGCCTCTGATTCTGAGTGCTTGCCTTCCTGAAGCCCTCTGACCCCTTTAAAGAGCTGTCTGAGGCTTTGGGGGCCTTTGCTAAGCATGAACAATGTGGTGCTATTGTGTACTTGGGCTGTTTGATGACGATGTTGGAAGGGGATACAAGGTGTGGTTTTGAACTTGGTGTTGGGGATTTAGAATAGCAAATTATTCCTCTGTAACATATCAAATTTAGAAATATTGTGAGATAACCCTAGCAGTCTGTATGGTAGGTTTACTCTCTACCATGTTTTCACATATTTGAGTAGTTAAATACTAAGCCTTTCCCTTTGAACTATCAGGTTGGATACAGTGATGATTAAAAAAAAAAAAAAAAAAAAAAAAGGATATTCTTTAGCAATTTGGGGCCCCTCCAACAGGCTGAATGTTGTCCTTGTATCTTGTTACTTTTACATGAGTTCACCCTCAGTGCTGTGTGATGTTTAAAGCTGGGACGATCTGTAAAATAAGAATTAAAAGATGATGAACTCAGATAGCGCATATCCTATTATTGACATGGTTTTTCTCTTTTCTACACAGAAAATGTTTTCAGACTGCTCATTTCTATGTGGAAGACAGCAATTCACCTCGAGTGGTCCCTAATGAAAGTATTCCTATTATTCCTATTCCGGGTAAGTAAGTAAGACACTGCTCTTATTTCCAGTGGGCTAATTGTTTTTCTCTTTTCTCAGTTTTGTGTGATAAAACAAGAAAATATTATTTTACAGCCTTTTAAAGCTTGCCCAGTATAAGATATCCTTAACTAAGAGTAATTTAATGAATACTCCTTTACATATCTACAAAGTAATAAAACTCTCTTTAGAGGAACAAATAACTGAGTTAATGTAGTATACAGTCATATGCAGGAAAGGAAAGTACAATAGAAAAAAGGGAAAAACCATACAAAAAACATTCTTAGTATCTACTTGAACTAAATTTCATTTGCATAGGCAATTTGTGCTTATATTTTTAAATCACAATTTGTGACACATTTTTTTAAAGGTGATACTTTTCTAAGATTCTTTCCTCTGAAAATCATGTATCTTAATGTTGAAAGTTTTGGTTCTTATGGTGGTTGTGTGGAAATAGAGGGGTACATTACTAGTCTGGTGAATATTTCACTTTTCCTCTGGTAAAAAGATAAAACACTTGGTTAGTGTTGGGGTAGGGAATGGTGGAGTGTACACTGTAGTGAATCCTAGCAAATGCCTTAGACATTTAGAAGTTCAGCAGTGGGTTAGGTGTAATAGGATGTGGGATTTGAAGATCTCACCCACCATTTCTATTTGGCATCCCTTCTCCTTTGCCAGATTTTAACTTTCTACATCCTGGTTTCATTATGTGCTTCCAAATACGTATCTTCAGATATTTTAGATACATCTATCCTCTTGACATTACTCTTTTGCAAACAGAAGCATCACTTTGATTATAATGCCACCCATTCTCCACACCTGAAGCTCCCCCATCCTGCTGATCTGCCCTATTCTCCATAACGCTTTCCACCAACTAATGTGCTATTTATTTTACTTTTTTTTTGCTCTCTTCCCACTACAATGAGAGCTTTGTAAGGGCACGTGGCTATATTCTCAGTGCTAAAATAATTCTTGGCACACAGTAGGTATTCTTTAAGTACTTAAATGAGTGAACGTTAGAAAAATTTCCTTAAAGTTCTTAAAAGGTCTTGGCTGTGAAACTCAGAGGTACAGTCATTCTTTGGGTACCATGGAGAAATACTTCTATTGTTTGCAGATTGTCACTACGTGTGGTTATGGTTGTAGACTGAATTGCCCTGTTATGTGTCTGTATATTGCTTAGTCATTAGATATTACTGGGATTGTCCATGTTTTGTACATTCTAATCAGTTTTCTCACTAAAACTTGTCACACAGAAACAAGAAGATTAACAGAAGGTCTCTGATTAAGTTCCTGTTGGATCCTTTTGTGGCTGCTAAACTAATTCCCATAAAGATGGGATAAGTTTTGTGTTACTGTGTGTTCTCCACTAACCCTGCCCCTTTATCCTTGCTGAAGGAAACTACTTTTCCTTTGAGAGTAGAGAAGGCAGACAGCAATCATCAGTCTTCATCAGCATGAAATAGTTTCATTGAATCTACTGGATTTGCACAATAGTATGCATATACTTTTTCCTCTTGCTTTACCTACAGTATGTGTTGACCACTGGAAAATTCATGGCAGTCTTTCTCCCCTCTGACCTGATTTGTCTGACAGACTCAGTTGTTTCATAGCTGTGTAATTGAAACCCATTTTTAATGAGTTAAATGGTGAAATACTTACTGGGCTGCTTTTCCATTTCTATTTTCTTTTACCACTGGATTAGGAACCAGAAAACCTAGGTCCACCCTGAAATCTTTGTTCAGTGCCTTAACCTCTCTGAGCCTTAGTTTCCAGAATCCGTAAATTAAATAGGATGCCTGTTCTCCTTGCCTTTTGAGGTAACTGTTAAGACCACAGTAGATGATATGTGTAAAAGCACTTTGGAAACCATACATTAAGCCAGAAGTGTAAGCTGTTGCAACTTTCCTTCCCAAATCATGGTACTCCTAATCCCAGCAGTCATGGAGAGAGAGCATTTGCATGACTCTCATGTTAAAATTGTGTCCCTAACACCGAACTACATCCACTAGGTGTGCTCCACCTTGAATCACTCTTCTTTGATATAGGCTTTAGAACTTTTAATTCACTAGGATCCTCTGAATATGCCTTGCCACACCTTTGAGTAGGTGTCTTAGACCAGAAATTGCTTTTGAATGTTTTCTGTTTCATTCCCATTACCTATTTAATTAAGAAGTTAAATACTCCACTTACATTTTAAATGTAAGGCAGTGTGATGTTAAAGGGCTTACCTAGTGAAATGATGAGGGAGGCTAATCTGCTTTCTCAGGTCTTCATAGCTAACATAGCCTTACTAGGAGCATGCCTAAACAAATGAACTTACTTCACCCTTAATTGAGAGTTACCCTAAATGACCTTTCCTTAAAGAGCTTTCAGCTTGATCATAATCTCTTAGCTTGGTAAATAAAACCCCACAGTCCTATTTAATAGTTACATTTGGAAAATATTTTAATTCACAAAGCACTTTTTAAACAACTCATTGTTCTATTCTTTAGGATTTCTTCCAGTTACAGCAGTACAACTGTGTCTCATATAAGAAAAACACAATTCGGCCGGGCGCGGTGGCTCAAGCCTGTAATCCCAGCACTTTGGGAGGCCGAGACGGGCGGATCACGAGGTCAGGAGATCGAGACCATCCTGGCTAACCTGGTGAAACCCCGTCTCTACTAAAAAATACAAAAAAAAACTAGCCGGGCGAGGTGGCGGGCGCCTGTAGTCCCAACTCGGGAGGCTGAGGCAGGAGAATGGCGTGAACCCGGGAGGCGGAGCTTGCAGTGAGCTGAGATCCGGCCACTGCACTCCAGCCTGGGCGACAGAGCGAGACTCTGTCTCAAAAAAAAAAAAAAGAAAAACACAATTCAATTTTTAACAAATTTGTGAGTTACTTTCACTCTACTAAAGCTTTTATCACAACTTTTCTTTAATGGAAGCCTCCATGGAATCATTTTAAATGATTTATCTTAGAAATTATCTAATTGTTCTTATTTCTAAAAATAATGAGACTTATAGAGCTCCTATGAAATATTTATTCTACCCAATCAATCTCAGTTGTATTTTATCCCTGCTCAAAACCTAAATAACAATAATACTGGGCCTCATATCTGTCAAATTATTTTACCACTTGGGCTCTTCACACTCTATAATTGATTTTTTTTAAAAGATATTTGCAGACAACAGACATAACGAGTAAACTGAATCATTATACTAGCTAAAAATATGTGCAACAGGGTGAAGTTGAAAATTTAAGTACCAAGCTGTTGTAAAAATAGAGCTCCAGGGTCGTCACTGCGGAATATGCAATACACTGTGTTCCCAGAGCCAATTTTAGTTAGCCTCCTAAAAAATCATTATCTAATAATTATTGAGCATTTACCAACAAAGTATATTATGTTTATTTTCACTACAGTCCTATAGAGACAGGTACAGGTTGATGCCCCCATTTTCTGGATGAAGAAACTGAGGTTCAGAGACATTTTTTTAATTGTCCAAGGTTACAGAGCTAAGCAGTGGAGCTAACACTGGAATTATCTCTGTGACTTCAAAGCACAGATGCTTATAAATGGCTCTGCCACCTCTTGGCATACGACTGTGACAGTTTTGATATCTCAAGACTTCAGACTGCTCATTCGGATATTGCTTCATTAAGTCCAGGCATTTTCAAATATATGTGAATATTCTCTTTAGTTTTTTGTGAGTTCTTGATCATTAACTTCTCTCACTAGCACTGACCATTTGGTTTTCCATTAGATTCTCTTTCATCCTCCTGGAGGGAAATTCATAATTCTTGGGTTGACATTTTCCCCATATTAAAAAATCTCCCCTCATCTCTGCTCTCTACTTATTTTTATTCTTTTCCTTCCTGACTCAACTCAGCAAAACATCCATTCCCTGCGCAAAAATAGGTCTGTATGATTTAAATGACTTAGGAAACAAGTCACAGCCATGTTGAATGTTGAACAAATTTAGACACTAACTCAGCAACTTTGGTTGATTCTGCTGTGGCTAAAATTCATAAATAAATAGCTTGTATCTTTAAATCCCAAAGCATACATGGAATCGGTAAGTTATACTAACTTTTGGAAACTATTATAAAATAAAATAGGTAAATGATTAAGGAAAGCTTTGCTAACCCTTTGATACTCATCCCTTTGAGAGAGCAGTTTATAGGAATTTTTGAAGAATTTTGAATGATCAATTTTACTAATTCTAACAGGAATTTAGGATATTCAGTGTGTTCTTCTGATTTAGTATAGCAAAGACAGTCTTTTAAGAATGAGGACATTTTCCCCCCCCTGGTCTCACCTAACACTTACGCAAAATGTGGAAATGCTAGACAGAGACTGAATACATATGGTGGCTGAGGTTAATTAGCCATGTTAGAAAAAACTCAAAATGCAAGAGTATTTATCCAGCTTGAAAGAAGTGCTTTTGAGGTTGGCTTCCAATCACTATAAAGGTAGTATCAATTCTTTTATCAGATAGATTTTGAATGGTTAGTGCCTGTTCCATGCATGACATATGGGAAAAGCAGGAGCAGGAGAGAGAAGTTAAACTGTGACTTCTGCAGGAGAATGAAAGGGGCTCAGACTCAATATATTTCACTGAGGGTTTTTCAGAAGAAAATGTTCCCTGGTTACTGGTTTCCCATTGTTTTGGTGTGAGGATAAAGCATAACTGAATGCAGTAACCCAGCTGTCAGTCCCCTCATATGCTTTCCATCTTCTAAAATACTGAAGTGGTCACAAAATGCTGTCTTTAAGATCCATAATATTCTTAACACTGACAAGTACTTATAAAAATCTAGTGACTCGGGAATATTCTTTTGAAAAAAACGAATAATATCGCAGTTATTAATGAAGCATTCACTACATTATTCTTTTAGACTTTCATTACATATAAACTTTAAAAAATCAGAACTTAGCTCATGAAATTAACCTGTTACAGAGCATATTGAAAGGGCTTTTCTAAATACGCGCACTGTCAGACACAAATGTCCTTAC